GAACCTGACTGCCCACGCAAACGGAGACCACCATTCGGCAGCCTCTCCCGCCAAACCGACTAGAGCTACCATGGCTTCTCGTCTCACGCGCATGTTCTCAAGCTCTGGGAAAAACTCTCCCAGAGACCATCATGAAGGTCCTCGTGACCTATCTGATAGTAGCTTAGAAAGTATCCAGCCTCTCAACGGCAGGACCTCTAAGCCATCATCTCGACCCGCCTCCAGACCTCCTTCTAGACCTCCCTCAAGAGGAGAGAATTCTCAAACGCCATCACGAAACCCATCACTCAAGGGTGACGCCGCTGTCGCCGTGGAGAAGACTGACAAGAAGAAGCCGGATGATAAAAAGACGAAAGAGGGAGCCCCAGTTCACAAACGATTTGAGGTTCTGACGGAAGCTCTCGGCAACCACTCGCATAACCTCAGAAGTGCTAGACGACAAGAAAAGCTTACCGATCTACTGCGGGACATGCTGGGTGGCCGGAAAAAGGACGACCAGGTGGATGAACAGCAGCTCTCACTGATGTCGACCTGGATTGATCAGTTCAAGACGGAACGTGATAAGTTGGCTGCTGATAAGAAGGGTGGCCCGAATGCCACTGCTTCTCTGGTAGACAAGTACGGCAAGTGCCAAGAGATTGTGGGCCGCGGTGCTTTCGGTATCGTGCGCATCTCACACAAGGTCGACCCTCAAGATTCCAAGTGTGAACAGCTGTATGCTGTCAAGGAATTCCGCCGCCGGCCTCAAGAAACAACCAAGAAGTATCAAAAACGACTGACTTCTGAATTTTGTATCTCATCCTCTCTTCGTCACCCAAACGTCATTCACACTTTGGACCTCTTGCAAGATGCCAAGGGAGATTACTGTGAAGTCATGGAATACTGCGCTGGTGGTGATCTCTACACCCTGGTCCTTGCTGCCGGCAAGTTGGAGGTCGCCGAAGCCGACTGCTTTTTCAAGCAGTTGATGCGAGGTGTTGAATATATGCACGAAATGGGCGTCGCACATCGCGACCTTAAGCCCGAAAATTTGCTCTTGACCACCCACGGTGCACTCAAGATCACCGACTTTGGTAACGGCGAATGTTTCCGTATGGCCTGGGAAAAGGAAGCCCATATGACCGCCGGACTCTGCGGTTCCGCCCCCTATATCGCCCCGGAGGAATACGTCGAGAGAGAATTCGACCCCCGAGCGGTTGATCTCTGGGCCACTGGAGTTATCTACATGGCCATGCGCACCGGACGGCATCTTTGGCGCGTCGCGCGCAAGGACGAAGACGAATTCTACCAGCGGTACCTAGATGGTCGCAAGCATGAGGATGGATACGCTCCAATTGAGACGTTACATCGGGTAAGAACAGCTAATCCCCTTCCTGCGGCCGCAGGGCAAAGACTTATGAATTCTCAGGCTCGTTGTCGTAACGTGATCTACTCCATCCTTGATCCCAATCCTTCTCGCCGCATCAACGCCTCACAGGTTCTCAAATCCGAATGGGTACGCCAGATCAAGCTGTGCAAGGCCGGCGAGGAAGGGTTTTGATTGTTTCAACACAAAAAATTGTTAGGCGTCGAGGTCACAGGCCCGCTCCTTAAAGGTTTGATAGCACCGAAACTATCTTACGTTTGCATCACAGGGTGGTTATTTATCATAGACCCATTCGAGGAAAGGCTTACTGATTTTTATCCTTCGAATGCTCCTAACTTAGAAGGAGGCCCTTATGAAGGTTTTTGTTTTGCCTTGTTCGTTTTATCCTGTTGGCTCCGGCGCATTTACACTGTATCCCCCTCGGCCTCTTCAGCCTGTGCTCTATTATATCGATCCATCTTTTAGCTTGTCTTTTTGTCTGGATCCTCATGTCTTCAACGTCAATGCAACGAAGAATCATGACCTTTTTCTTTTGATCCAGTTTTTCCTTTACGATTCGGAGTTTCTTCTCGTCCGGTTTTCGCGTTACGGATTTTCGGCAGATACCTTGAAGTTTCTACGGCGTTGGCGGGCAATTCCCCATTTGAGCTTTTTTTTCCCCCTTGTACCACTATGACAAGCCCAGCTTTAGCGGGCCAATTTGGGCATTCTCACTTGGGTTGCGGGTCCTGGTGCTCCTGGGGGTTATATGATTGTAGGCAGAGGCTGCCCGCAACAGCAACATGATCAGGAACAGGTATTGGTGCCCGAGTGAGATATCCTACACTGGAGGTTGTCTGAACCTTTTTTTTGCTTTGACTTTTCTCGTTATGTCGAATTATAGTACATATTCCCAATGCTTTTTGTATGTACGGCTTAGGCATTCTGAATTTCTGTTATATGTGACTTGTTCCCCGTAGCAAGATACACATTTATCCCAGCATACCAGATTCATCTCAAGGTCTTATTTCCCCTACAACGAGAACCCTTCAAGTTCACAATCTACAGCCCCCAAGCACTATGACATCAATTCGAAGATCGGCGTCTCTCGGACCCAATGCAAGATCCACCAAGTGTCACCGAGACGATCAGCACGGTGCTGTAGATTAGGCCCGATATCTTTCCAATATATATACCTGTGATATCATTCAGCCTGTATCCTCCGATGATATTCATCCATGCATACGCTAGAAAAAGATGAGGCCCCAAACACTCTGATGCCATCGCGTGTCATATATCAAACTAGCGCAGTCTAATTATTCTCACATGCGTCTCACTAATTATTGTACATACTTTAGGTCTGTATGCAACTCGGTAATATATGCAGCTAAAGAGGTGGATTTTTTGAACTCTGCAACTTCCGGATACCCACCAAGTGCCGACCAAAAAAAGGAATCCCGAGTAAAAGTCGAGACACTAGGCATTTGTCATTTGTTCACACATTTGTACTTGGCACTGGTCATATAATTGCCAAGAACCGTACATAACACAGTTACTTAGGCATCAGCATTACAGCCTAGGCGAAGTGGATTAGAATACCTCAATATGCACATGCCATGCAGACGTATTATAGTGGATGCAAGACCCAGCTTTACACTTATGTTATTGAAGGGGTAATTTTGTTCAAACTTTTCCGTTATCTCGCTCTTGATTGCTCGACCAGCGTTAAAGCGGCTATATGCAGTAGGTTGGAGTAGGAATGTCACAACGTGATACCGATATATAATATATACCTTGGCATGATTTACCTAGTATTACCAGTCTATGTATCTTTGCAGAAATAAAAAAAAATCCCCTGACCCTCGCACCTGAATAATGCAACGCTGATGTAGACTCCAGCCCTACCAAACATGACGTATCCGCATCCGGAAAATATGACATAAGCAACACAGCCACACACAGCCACATAAACCCGTAAGGCAGATCAAGTCGGTTACCTTGGCATTAGGTTCAGGACCTCCACGACTTGACCCTACAGTATAACCCTGTGTTTTCTTATCAGGCGCGACTGCAATCACCCACCTTCGATTCCAAACCCACTCACACCCTATAACCCACACCAACTCGAAGCCGATCCCCATCTCCGGGTCCTCCGAAGCACACCGCCACCATGTCTTGGGCAGGTACGCCTCATCCCCAATCCCTCGGACTCACGAACCGGTGCCAATTTGAGCGAATCTAACTGGATGGATGGATAGGGTTCAAGAAGAATGTCAACCGTGCGACGACACAGGTGATGATGAAGACGGGTGAGTTTGTCGAATTCTACCCCGCAATGAATCGAGAAAGGGCGATCGGATACGATCCCCGATGGAGATACGCGCCACCCGCTACGATTTACTGCCGCCATATGGATGTGAATAGCATGCTGAAACACTAATTGTATAGGTCATGTCGAGAGAACGAATGATCGCGATTATGAGATTGAGGAACGGTATGGTTGTCTTCGCTGCTGCCTATGGATGGTTACGGGACTGGAACTAATGTTGTTCATTACAGGCGGTACCGAACTATGGAGACTGCTGCGAATCGGTTGCAGAAGGAGGCAAAGGGATATCTGGATTCACTACGAGGTTGGTGATCTTTTGCTTTGCTGATTGGATCTGGTTCAATTGGCTGATTCTTCCTAGCCATGACGGCGTCCCAAATGCGCATTGCGGAGACCATTGATGCCTTCTACGGCGATGCGGGAACAAAAGATGGTGTGAGCCGGAGCTACAAGCAGGCCGTTGAGGATCTTGATGCCGAGACCATCAAGGCTCTGGATGGACCATACCGGTAGGAGATCCTTGTTTTACTGACGAACACACATGAGTAGCGCTGACAGAATCCAAAGTACCACCGTCCTCGACCCCATCTCCCGATTCTGCGCCTACTTCCCCGACGTGAACGAATGCATCAAGAAACGTAACCACAAGCTACTAGACTACGACGCTATGCGCGCCAAGGTTAAGAAGCTAGCCGAGAAGCCTGACAAGGATGTCACCAAGCTGCCCCGGACCGAGCGCGAAGCCGAGATGGCCAAGCAGGCTTACGAGCAGCTGAACGAACAGCTCTTTAACGAACTCCCCCAGCTTATCGACCTACGTGTGCCTTACCTCGACCCCAGCTTCGAAGCTCTCGTTAAGATCCAGCTGCGCTTCTGTGCCGAAGCGTATTCCCGCATGGCGCAGGTGCAGCAGTATCTCGATGCCGAGACTCGCGACCAGTATGCCAAGGGTGATCTGGATAACCGTGTTGAGGAGGTTTTGCAGGAGATTCGCGATTTGAGCATAGCTGGAACCGTTTGAGGTGTTCTTTTAACTACTCTATTAGCATAATACCGGATGTTTCTTTGCTGCGTTGAGATCTGTGCAACAGACTCGTGCTTTTCTTCTTTGCTTTTGTCGATAAGATATCGGCAACTATCTCCATGGCGTTTTCTATGTATATGATTAATACATGAGCTGACTTTGAACATTGCTCTTCCTCACTTTCTTCAATTCCTTCGCCCGCGAATATGAAGCAATCACATATAACCAACAATCATGATGGGGAGGGGGTATAACTTGTATTTACTCCAACAAAATCCGTAATCTACACATCAAAGACTAAATCAAACCTTCCCGGCAGGTCTCAGAAGCTCATCCCGAATAGTAACAACCACAGGCATCGCCGCAGCCTGATAAGCCTTAAGCTCCTTATCAGTAACAGTCTTCAGCACATAATCCGAAACAGCCTTCGTCTCATGCGACGTTGGCCGTCCAATCCCAAGACCAATCCGCAAGATCGATAAATCCGCCAACGGCCCCGAAACACTCTTACTCGCAGACGAACGCGGATACAATCCCTTCTTGCGCAGCGTCTCACAAATACTAACAAGACCACGATGACCACGCAAACTAAACGACTCAGGCCCGCCGCGTATAACGCGCACCTTGCCTTGAGCGATAGATAATTCATCATGGAGGATAACGAGTGTTGTTGGGTATGTAGGTTGTGCGGGGATGTCTGTAGTTGACGAAGAACGAGTTGCGACATTGGCGATTCTTTCAAGACGGTTTGCTCGTTCCGTCGCCCATTGTTCTAGTCTTCGCACAAGTCTCGGGCCTGATTCGTTCATGTAGGCTGGACTTTGCCAGGTTTCGTGGTAGAGGCCTGTGTTTGGCATTGTGGTTTCGAGGAGGGGTTTTAGGGCATCGAGGAGGAGGTGGCCGGCGCTGTGGCGGGTTTTTTGATAAGGGGCTGGATTGCCTATTGAGGCTATGAAGAGAAGGCGGCGGGGGATGAGTTCCATATTTGCGGGAGAGGATGTTTGGTTTATGTTGTATGTTGTATATTGTAGGAGTACTATGTATTCTTTTTTCTTTCTGTCATTGGTTCAGGTACGGAGATCGTCTCGTGACTTGGCTGATATCGGTGATAAGGAATTTTTTATATCCGTATTTATACAACGGTTCTTCAGTCTTTGTTTTGACTAGGATTTTGTTAATTTCATCTCTTTCTACCATACTCTTATATGACAATGAGGAAAAAAAGGATCGGAACCATTGCACAGGTGTATTTGTCCAATTCGAGTGATGTATTAATAAAAGACCGAAGAGTAGACAACTTGTATCATGAGATATTCCAACGGGTACTGATCAAATACATCTGGAACGAGCTCGAGCTAGTCCGGTTTCATTTGATAATATAATATTGAATTGTAGAAATCCTAAAACTCGGGGTACTATCCTAAGAGATTCCAGTTAATAAGAGTGAGTTTATCGGCCTCGTACTTTTTGGAATGGAATATATGAATAGCTAATGAATGTCTTTGTATAATTAACCAATCCAGGAGCCGGCGTGGCCTCTATGGCTTGTAGAGTACCTAGGTATAAAGTCCATGGAGGCTTGTAGGATACGTGAATTTTGTCCATTGCAATGAAACCAGACAAGCTTTTGGATATAACTCCCCTTGAACCCCATGCAAAACCAAGAAAAATAACATAAAAAGACATTTACAGTTGGAACAGAGTTCTCGTCTTCTCCATTCCACCCTTCCATTCCCACTCCTGTCCACTGGCACGCTGGATGCCCTTATCAACACGACGAAGCTTCAAAGTGAAGCGAGGTCCCAGTTCCTGCAAACCGGTACGGATACCCTCAACACCCGTCATTTCCTTGCCGTCAGCACCAACGACAGCCTTCTCGGTCTCACGCTTCTCACGGAAGACATAGCGGTGACGACGGACGAAGATGTAATCACGCTGGTTGTGCAAAGTGACAACCTGTCGGCCCTCGAATTCCGGCTGAGGCGGGAAGAGTGAGCGGAACAAATGCGCAGTCAGAAGACCGAGAGGAGTACGGAAGTTGTTGAGGATCAGCTCGGGCCAGTGCTCGGTGGCTTTACCGTGTCCTGGAAGACGCTTTCCGTCGATCCAGTTGCTGATGGTGAAGTGGAAAGTCGGGCCGACTGGCAAGTGCACCATTGTCAGCCCAGAGGGCTTCTTCTGGTCCTCATTCAACACGACGACCGTCGTGAAATTACGGTTTGCGGCGAATTTGGAAATCTCACGGACGGAGAATTTGTGCGAGTACCGGTGTGCATTACGGCGGATATACACACTGTTCGGGAAGATCTCGGTCAGGGTCTCGGCTTGGTCGTGGAGGGTAGAGTTGAGGCCGGTGGTGATAAGGATTTTCGGGGTGGGAGGGGGTCCTTCAGTGAAGAGTGTAGGGAATTTGGCGGCCAATGCTTCAGGAGCGAGGCTGAGGTTTGTGCTTCGTGTGGACTGGCTAGGACTTGTGGCACGCTCTGTCGCAGTTGGGAGAGGGGCCTTCTTCCGGCCACGGCTGGCCTTTTTATCTTCATCCTCGTCCTCATCCTCATCCTCATCTTCGCCGTTGTCTGATTCGAGCATACTGTCGACTGACTCATTGTCAGACTCCGGAGCCTCACTGTCATCCTCACCCTCTTCCAATGGTCGATTGAGTTCGTCTTCTTCTTCCTTCTTGGCGCGCTTGATGCGCTCAACGTCAACGCTCAGTCCCAGACCGGTTTCTTCGGTGTCGTTGTCGGGTTCATTCCAGACACGTTTCCGCTCAAGGGTCAGAGGAATGTTGCGGCGGAGTCGTTCTTCCTTCAACTGGGGGTTCTTTTGTTCTTCTTTCTTGAAAGCGTAGCGCTCCTCTCGGCGCGCAGCATCCTTGGCTCTCTTGCGCTTGACATGGTTCATCTTCCGGCGAATCTTGTTGCCGGTTTTAATATCGCCCATGACGCCCGGAGGCGGTCCTGATCGACCAACTGGACCCATTTTGAAAAGCTGAGAGGGTAGAGTGCTGCTGTTGAAGGTCAATGGAAAATGTAAAGATCGCCGAGAAATAAATTATTTCGGACAATTGTTTCCCCGGAGCGCCAATCTGGCGATTTGACCTTGTGACTTGGAGACCTCCTTTATGAAAGGAAAATAAATAAAAAAGAAAAAGTAAAAAAGAGAGAACCAATTGCTCTCTCTCGTTCTATATCTTCTATCCTTTATCCTCTCGGTGGTGTCTGAGGGGCTGCATAGTGGATGACTCAATTGCCGCGTCTGCGATTTCCCCCCCGCTCTTTTCTTTCCCCTCCGTTCTTTCGGACTCAGTTTAGGACCTACACCTCTCCCCCGAAGACCTCGAAACGAAACGCCAAGATGGCCACCGTCAACACCAAGACTGGCCAGTCCATCGACCGGACGGTGCTGGACTCCATGCTCCGCCGCCGCATGTTCTACACCCCCTCCTTCGAAATTTACGGTGGTGTCTCTGGTCTGTATGACTATGGCCCACCAGGAACCGCCCTGATCGCCAACATGACCGACTTGTGGCGCAAGCACTTCGTGCTCGAGGAGGACATGCTCGAAGTCGATACTACCATGTTGACCCCCCACGAGATCCTCAAGACCAGTGGGCACGTCGACAAGTTCGCCGACTGGATGTGCAAGGACCCCAAGACTGGCGAGATCTTCCGTGCCGACCACTTGGTTGAGGAGGTGCTCGAGGCTCGCCTCAAGGGAGACAAGCAAGCGCGTGGCGAGAAGGTTGTGGTGGACGAGGAGAAGGAGGCCAAGAAGAAGAGAAAGGCCAAGGGCACCGAGGCCAAGAAGCTGGATGATGCCCTTGTCAAGGAGTACGAGGAGACCCTCGCACAGATTGACAACTATGGCGGCCCCGAGTTGGAGCAGCTCATCAAGAAGCATGACATCCGCAACCCCGTCACCGGCGGCGAGGTGCTGCCTCCGGTCTCCTTCAACCTCATGTTCCAGACCTCTATTGGCCCCAGCGCCAACATGCCTGGCTACCTGCGTCCCGAGACCGCCCAGGGTCAATTCTTGAACTTCGCCAAGCTTCTGGAGTTCAACCAGCAGTCGATGCCCTTCGCCTCTGCCTCCATTGGCAAGTCGTTCCGTAACGAGATTTCCCCGCGTGCGGGTCTCCTGCGTGTGCGCGAGTTCCTCATGGCCGAGATTGAGCACTATGTCGACCCAGAGGGTGGCAAGAAGCACGCTCGCTTCGATGAGATCAAGGATACTGAGCTGTTCTTGCTCGACCGTAACGTGCAACTTTCCGGAAGCACCAAGCTGACCAAGATGACCATCGGCAAGGCCGTTGAAATCAAACTGGTGGATAACGAGACTCTGGGCTATTTCTTGGCCCGCATCCAGTCCTTCCTGCTGAAGCTGGGTGTTGATCCCACCAAGCTGCGCTTCCGTCAGCACATGGCCAATGAGATGGCTCACTACGCCACTGACTGCTGGGATGCCGAGTTGCAGACCAGCTACGGCTGGATCGAGTGTGTCGGTTGTGCTGACCGCTCCGCTTACGATCTGACTGTCCACAAGGAAAAGACCGGTGCCCCTCTCGTGGTGCGTCAGGCTCGTGCTGAGCCTCTGCGTATCGAGGAGTACCAGATTGACCTCGAGAAGAAGAAGTTTGGTCCTCGATTCAAGAAGGACGCCAAGACCGTCGAGGCTGCCATTGACGCTCTTTCCCAGGAGCTGCGCGAGAAGCTGTCTCTTGACCTCGAGAAGAATGGCAAGATTGAGGTCGATGTTGAGGGTGTTGGATCTGGCAAGGTCGAGATTGAGAAGGACCTGATCAAGATTGAGAAGCGTACCCGTGTTGACAATGTCCGCGAGTACACCCCCAACGTGATCGAACCTTCCTTCGGTATTGGACGTATTCTATACAGTATTATTGAGCACTCCTACTGGTCCCGGGCCGGTGACGAGACTCGCGGTGTAAGTCTTCCCTTTTGTGTTTTTCTGCCCTGAATGCTGGTACTGACGAACCTCTATAGGTCCTTTCTTTCCCTCCCGCTGTTGCCCCCACAAAGGTCCTGCTGGTTCCCCTCTCCACTCACGCTTCCTTCAAGCCTCTTACCCAGCGTTTGACCGCGAAGCTGCGCAAGGCCGGTGTCTCCAACCGTGTCGATGACTCTTCCGCCAGTATCGGCAAGCGTTACTCCCGTAACGACGAGTTGGGCACACCCTTCGGTATCACTGTGGATTTCCAGTCCGTTCAAGACAGCACCTTCACCCTGCGTGACCGCGATACCACCAAGCAGGTTCGCGCCACCGAGGACGAGATCTTGCAGGCTGTCAAGTCGCTTGTTGAGGGCGACGAGACATGGGAGGATATCCGCAAGCGCCTGCCCGAGTTCACTTCCCAGGAAGTCGAGGCTTAGAATGCTTAGTGCATGATAAAAATATTATTTACTTTTTTTTCCCCTTCTCATCTTATTCCCATATCAATTAAAATAGAACAGTCCTATAGATCTATACAACTATACAATATAGTTTTCGCGCATCACGCTAACCAGGCACGGCATGCCCAGCCATCGGGCCACGCCAAGAATCCGGGGCACCTCCGTCATCTGTCCTCTTTCCACTCTACTTAATCAACAACGATGGCTCCCACAGTATACTCTGCCAAATTGACACTCTCGTGTCCGCTCTTCGCTGCGGACTTTGACCCACGCGACAGCGGTCGACTCCTAGTCGGCGGCGGAGGCGGCGAGGGGCGTAGCGGAGTTGGAAATAAGATCGCAAGTCCCACCATTTCGAAATCTTTCCTTTCGACGTGCAAATGCTAATTATTGTTTTCTGTATAGTCTCTGATTGACACATCGCGTCGCAACGAGATCACCGAAGCCGTTGAACTGAACCTATCGCGCGATGAAGACTCGGTAACGTCACTGGCTGCGGCCCCGGTGGTTGGCGACGAGGCGGGCTCTCTTGTTGCTCTGGCCGGTATCAACAGCTCTGTAGAGCAACAGAA